TTCCATTTTTCAAGATTTTCATATGTTTATAGATATACTTGATTTTTAACTATTTTTTAATTTAAAATTTGATAATTAGATATAAAAATAGATTTTGAGATAATCCTAATAACATTTTAAATCAAAATTATATACCATGATAAAATTTGAAGGACACCGCACCTCTACACCTACGGAGGCGTTCGTATGCCAACTGCACCCAATATAAAAACGTCTTTAATTTCTTTTCCAAAATGCCCCCTCGGCTTTCTAAGGTCCAAAGTGATAATGATTTCATGAAGAAGTAGAGAATTGTTTACAAAGGTCTGAAGTCGAATTGTGCCCGTTTGAACTCTCAAGTCATTTTGACAAGTCTTTCCTGTGGACTTGGAAGTCCGAAGTCACCACTTTCTCAAAATTTTTTAAGTCAGAAGCTTCGGAATTGACACTTCAAAACCTGAGGGTTCAAAATGGGTGTATTTTGAAAAAAAGAGAGGGAAAAAATAGAGATATCAATGAAAAATAAAAAATTATGAAATTTTATAATAACATTCCTTTAGGGGAACATGAATGTTGAAAAGGGGGGATTTGGTAAATTTGAGGAATTATGAGGATGAAATCTAGATTTTCCCATAGTGACTAGTCTACAATTTAATTATACTAATGCATTACTTATGAATTATAATATTGAGATTATATGGTATTTTTTAATCTTGCTCTTCATAAAACATTCAATCGCTTTGCCATTTACACGAAAGATCTTTAAGCAATTTCTGTTAGCAAGTATTTATTTACCGTGTGAACTTTAATAGAACTCAAGAATACTAGTTATAGTAACTATTAACTAGTAATGATCTCTCTTCTCTTTCACTATTCCCTCTCCCTCTCCCTCTTCTCTATCTAAATATATCTTAAATAAAGCCAAAGATATCTTACTTCCTCGAGAGTATAATGTTTATTCACTCCTTCGGGTAAAACCTCACCTACAAATAGAGTTAGGACCCCAAATTTTGAGGCTATAGCCTTTTTAATACTTATATTAATCTTAAAAAAATAAATTTCCTAATTGCACCCTTTTAGTACTTTAAAAAAAATGTCTCAAGATTGAATAGGAACCGTCCAATTTTCAGAGAGTAAGATTTAAGTATTAAAACGCTCGAATTTCAAATTTGTTTTGTTTTATAATAGTCATCTAGTGATTCTAAAGTGGTTACTAAAATTTTAGATTAAAAATTCCTCCCAAATAGGTCATCCGTCCGAGGGAGTAGAAGTAAACTATGCTCTTGAAGGAGCATAATATACAATGCTTTCATTTAAAGATTTATACTTACTTAAGATATTTTTGAGCAGTTTTGTTAGCAAGTATTTAAGAGAAATGATCATATAGGACTCTCCTCCACCTATGTGTGTAGGACCCTAAAGGATCACCATTAAATTTGATATGGATCTATAGAAAAGTCAAGTCATACATCTATGTGATAATTTTTTTAGAGATCCATACTAACTTTAATGGTGATACACATATGGGTGAAGGAAAGTACTATAGGATCATTACTTAGTATTTAATTATTATGTCAACTTTAATGGAACTCAAGAATAGTAATAAGTGATGATCTCTCTTCTCTTACTTTTTTTTCCCCTCCCTCTTCTCTCTATAAATTTTCTTAAAGGAGATTTGTATAGAGGTTGTGGTTTTTATAATCGAGGCTCTAAACCGCCAGAGTAAATCACACCTTCAAATAGTATCGAGAAATATGAATTCAATACTAGAAATTTTTGTGATAGCCTTAAAATATATTTTTATATTTAATAATAAATTTTAAAGCTTAAAAAATAGTGCCGATCGAGCAGATCTTAAAAATCTTGAAAATTGACAATTAAAAAATACGCTACAAGATACACTATTTTCAAAACTTGAAATCCATTTTTTATGATGTCCAAGCATCTTGACGTTGATATATCAATTTGAGGATATTTGGACATCAATTCAACCTCTTATAGTGAAATTTTGGAGCTGGGATCTAATTTGATTTTTTAGAGCCTCGGCTCTATATAAACTTTTTCCTTTTATAAATGATTGTTAAGTAATAAACTATTCTTAACTACCTGGTTTGGCCTTTGGTCTGAGCATGGTCGAAGAAACCGTCTCCTCTCTCTTTTTATTTTCCTTTTTTACTCTTTCTCTCTACTTTTTCTCTCTCTAAAAAGTAAACAGATAAGAGCATGACACCCTTGCCCACCTTTGTCTCCACATAATACCATCATTGTCCCTCTCTCTTCTCCCTCTCACTCTTAACTCTACCTCTCTTGGTAATTCTGTAAAGGATTGGGGTATTTTGGGCATTATGTAGTCAGCTTTTTTGCATTAGTCTGGTAACTGTGCCACTACAATTCATGCCCTCTGTCACTTCTCTCTCTAGTTTCTCTCTCTTCTTTCTCTCAGTAATCTGAGAGATGGGTTTGAACAAGTGTTGGGTCTCTCTGGCTTTTGTAGTTTTTGCAATTCCTTCATTTATACAGTGTGGAGACATCGTTCATGATGATGAAGATGCCCCAAAGCAACCTGGTTGCGAGAACAAATTTGTTCTGGTATGTTTTTCTTCTTGTTCTTCTCACTATTTTGTTTGCTTTTTTTTTCGTGATTCTCTTTTGGTAATTTATTTTTTGTTGAATTGGATCCTCTGTCGAAGTTTGTAGATTATGGGTCTTTTATGCACCATATTTTATGTGTGTTTTTGATGGGGTTGGCAGCGAAGTGGAAATTTGGGCCTTCTAGATCTCTAAAATTGTTCTCAACGATGCATCCTTTTCCCATGCTTTAACTTTCTTATTTTTGGCCTGGCATTTGTTGTTTGGAGAAGCTTTCGAATGCTTAGTTTCAGTTACGGGCTGTGTGTTCATTCCGAAATGTTCATCTTGGCCTGCAATTTCGCTCAAATCTGCTATTTCACTTAAAGAATTAAAACCGTGTTCAGGTTTTAGAATACCTGTTGGGATTTGCCAAATAAGGTGAAACCATAAATTTAAATTTGAAAAATTCATGATATCTTTTGAAAAATAACAACAGTCTAAATTGATAATTTCAGAGAGAATTTGGTCGTGATATTCATCGACCTTTGCTCATATTGGGGTTATAACATCTTATATATGGATGCCCACTTTGTAATCCATCATGGTCGTGGTATGAAACTGTCTTTTACTTTTATAGGTGAATGTCTTGTTGGTTACCATCATAATCACTAGAGCCTTATCCCAACTATTTGGATCGGCTGCATGAATCGTCTTCCGCCATTCTGCTCTATTAGGGACAAAACATCAGTAGGACAATAAGTCCCCGTATCTTTTCTCGCTACTTCCATTCGTGTGCTTTTGGGCTTTCCCCTTGCCCTTTTAGAGCTTTACACTTGAACCAAATCGCACCTCCTAACTGGTGCTGTATTGGGTCTATGTTGCACATGGCCTGCCCACCTAAGTCTACTTTCCCTCATCCTATCACCTATTGAAGCCATACCTAAGTTCTCTCGAATGTATTCATTTTGAATTCTATCATTTTTTGTCTTGCTACTCATCCATCTTAACATCCTCATCTCAGCTACACTCATCGTCATTTCAAATTCTCAGTTCTTGTTGATTACTATCTGGAAGAAAAAAAAAGGGTTTCAGTTTAAGGTAATGTTGGTTGGATCATAGAACAACATGGAAAATTTCTGCAATGTATTCCATATTTACGGTGACGTACCTTAATATTGTGGCATATGAGGGCTTACAAGAGGTAGTGGATTACACCTATGCCATTGTTTTTACTTTTTACTATTATCATTTGACTATTACTTAATATCATTACATTCACAGTCATGCTTCATGTTTGAGGGAATGAATAATCTAGAGTGAGCTGGAAATGTGTGTTAAATAGCTCCAGTTGGGTAGGAACGGCCTTGAAATTATTTATTCAGTAGGAACGGCCTTCAAATTATTTATTCAGCTTAGATTGTTTCATAACTAATGTCGTTTACATATGTACGATGATATCCAAGGAGGCAAGAGAGATGATGGATCGCCTCCTTGTTTATGACAAATTTGATAGAGAGAATCTGGTTATTTCTAATGTCCCTTTAGACTTTGTAAGTTTGATACCAGAAGATCTCTGTTGAACTGTTAAGTTTGTGGATGGTGCTTCCCCTTGTTTTGGGTGGTTGTATCCTTTGGAGGTGTTGTCCACTAGCTCCATATTAGAAGTATGGAGAGGAATGATAGTATTGAGGGTAAGATCTATTAAGTGGGTTCAGCACTTGAAAGATGAGCTTGTTTTCATGTGCTTTAGTTGAGGGGAGGTGGAGATGTAGAGGATCTTATGAGACAGTTGGGGACCAGTATGAGTATACCTGTTGCTCTGCTAGTAGGTTCTGGATAGAGGCAGAAACCAAGGTTCTCACTTCATCCTTCTTAGACCCTATGGTTTTAGCATTTGAGAAAAAATTAGTCTTGTTGAGAAACAAAAAGGAAAGGGTTGAATATGTAAACAGTGAAGAGAATATAAAAAATGAAAGGAAACGAGAGGTTATCTCCAAGAAAAAGGAAGTACCCTAATATATAATCTTCATACCTATGATGGTAGAATGAGCTCCTCTTAATACACAAATCTTTTTGCTATTTGTTGATGATTGATGCTCCATACTATAGGTGAGCTAGTAGGGTAGCCTCTGGTTCTTAGTGGATTGTCGTTGTCCTGGACAACTATCAGATTTCCCAGTACTTGGAGATCTCATTTTTAGCTTGTAAAATTGGTTGCTGACAGCATTGCTCATGGGAAATGGGCTCTAGCGTGTAGGGCCCTTCTGCTAATCATACTATTGCCCCAATATTGTGGTAGTTATGCCATCTTTCTTCTAGGACTAGATGTTAATAGCAAAAGAAGGGAAGTAAGGTTAAATATTATTTGTTAAAAATACCTTGGAATTTCTTGTTCTGACAAGTGGGAATTCTATTGGAAACAGCAAAATGATTCCAACTTTTTCTTATCTTTAAATAAGTAAAATAAAATACAAACTGACCAAATTTTCTGCCTTTTCCATTGATTTTTCATTACATATGATTAATGGCATTACTGTTGGATCCTGAATAATGGACAATATCTGTAATTGCAAATATACAACTTGGTTTTTTTTTTCCTTTTTACATTTTCAACAGAAATACACAACTTAGTTTTTGAAGATGAAGAATTTATAAGAGAGAAATTGCTATTGTCAAGAAGTAGAATATGTGTGTGTGTGTGTGTGTGTGTGTGTGAGAGAGAGAGAGAGAGAGAGAGAAGCTTGCAAGACAAGAACAGAATACCAAGACTCATGCTCTGCTTAGCCAACTTATCAGCTATCAGCTTCCTCATTCTCCTCATGAAGAACATGGGCTCTAACATCATTGGAACACCTCAAGCAGGCGAGGGAACTCCATTCAAATGGTAGCAGTTTTCCTTTGCATCCATCTAATATACAACTTATTAATTGGGATTTTTCATTGATTCGAGTGCAACACATATGCATCCTTCAACATTTTTAACCAAGAAAAATTTGGACCTTGAAGCAAATTGGTAGCCAATGAAAGACCATAAACTGTTTAAAATGTTCACAGTTTGCTGTTTTATATTTTATAGAGTCAGAAGAAGGCACGGAATAACTAATATATATGATGAACAAACACTTCAAAAGAGGTGTTGTATCTATGTTAGACTAGACTAAAAAAATCATGCTCTTTTTTTATTGTTATATATTTTTTTTCTTTGAAAATTTTGATAGACAACGTTTATATCCAAAGTTTTGTTAGTTGTCCTATCGGCTACTACAAGGTAGTAACAAATTCCAATGCAAAGCAGTATCTGAATGCACATGAAGTGTTCAACAAGGTAGATTCAGCTGCCTAGATGGGCATCCAGATACCTGGGGAATCTGTACCTACAGGGTGGGGCTCAAGGCCCTTGAAGATGATATTGGGGGGCGACATTGGTTACTAAATCCCCCTGATTGAGTGTATAGAACATTTATTTTTGCCCAAAAACGGTTATTTCGCAGTTTTGTGTGTGTTATCTTGTTGTCTATTTCAAACTTAGATGTACATGACTTTGAACAGATAAAATTTTAAATGAGTGAAAGTTGACCACAATTTATCCATTATGCCGTAATAGAAAGTCTCAATAACCAGTACATGTCTGTATGCCACTAAAAGTCACAACTCACAACTCACGAAAAGCTACAACTCAAAGAACTTGAAACAATAAACTCAAAACTAAACAATGAATCTGATGAACTGAAATTTGAGGTTGAGTTTCATCATCATTACCAACAACATGTCTATCTCTACGATCACCACTAGATGCACCTGAAATCTGATAATGATTCCTAGCTATCATCCTCTGAGTCATCCCCCTCATATTCCTCTTCTACCCTAATCTCCTTTGCATGTGCCTCCTCCCCCTCCTCTTTTACTCTCATCAGCCTTTTCCCTTCTTCTTCCTTTGAGACTAAGATCTAATAGCAAAGCTTGATGTGGTTCCAGCTGCCTCGTGAACTTGGCTCCATGTGAGCTCTCTCCTGCAAGTACTAGTCATCCCATCCTCGACCAATGAGTTGCTCGCTTCATCCATATCTTTCATAATGATGGGCTTAATTTCATTGTGCTCCAAATGGTGCTTCTTCAGCTACTAATTATATTGAACGATGACAAGGTCATTCATTCTACTTTACTCGAGCCTATTTATCTGTTATGTATGTTTTCTATTGGATTATAGCATGAATGCAGTATTGGATACCTATAAAAAATATAGTACAGATATGGGGTAGTAGGAGATGAGGGTAAATAGAGAAATGGCAAATGAGTCAGTTTAGAAATTACCATCTTGAATGTGCTGATGTCGCGCTCAGAACCGGATGATGTACAAGTCAAGTTCACAATTCATTGAGCCAGCTTTTGCAAGTGATTGGTACTTTGTCCATGATTGGACCACCATAAAGCGACAATACATTACAAACAAATAGAGTCTATATCTATGAGTATATTTAGAAGTCAAGTGAACTAAGTACTTAACATTTCGGGATCTGTGTCAATATAAGAATTTGGCATCCTGAATGGACACTAGGTGGGGCCTTTTGCAGCATGCCTCTGGGGACCGGCCTGGACGTGTAGCCTAGGCTGCCTAAGTAGGCCTCGGATTGCTCTTGTTGAGGGCTGAAATAAGCTCTTGGCCAAGGGTAAAAATGTTCCCCCCCTTACCCCCCTGAAAATGGGGGAGAAATGCTGGAATGAGGGGATGAAATGATGTCAAGTGATGTGACATTCTAAAGAGCACGATTTTGAAATTTTTATGTTGATTAAATTTTTTTCCAACTTGCAATTTTATCGTGAGTAATCATTCCCATATATTTCTTAAAGTCAAAATTGTTGTGGAGGAGGACTTTTGGCAACCAAAGGTCACCAGTTTGTGCCAAGTTTGATTGAATTTAAAGGGTTAGTGTATTTCATTTGTTGCTTTAGAGTTTATGATACTCGTATTGGTTTTTATTTTCCAAATTTGTAATTTTTTTGTTCAATTTGGTTAGTTT